ACACCCCCACTCTGCATTCACTCATCCCTTTGACATTATTTGTTGCTAAGAATGAATGGTCAACCAAAGTTTCACATTTTATGCTTGGCTAACCCTTCAGCACTGCTCACTTCAATGCTTTCCACTTGCACTCATCTGTCCTCCCCTCACAACATTCCCTTCCAGTGCTCTGTGCCTTGAAAGCATCCAGGGTATCTTTCTGCCCTCAGATGTCAGGTTAAACACTAATGTTTTAGTGAAAAATCCTTCCTGCTCACAGAATCGATGCTGGGATTTAGAGTGACAGCCCCACAAACCTCCCTTCCCATGCCAACAGATGTCACCACCAGTGACTGCACAGTGTCTTTAAACCAAGTTTTTGGTCACTTAATACAGTCTGTCATGGCAAAGCCAAAAGGCTTCAACAAAAAAGTTACACAAGTCTTAACGGAAGGTTGAGCCCTCCCTGTTGGAATTCAAACCACCTACAGCTTCTTGTAGGGTGCACAAAACCCCATGGGCACAGTGTGAGGGAGCTGTCATCAACAGCCTCAGCAGCTTAAACCCTGAGCTTCAAAAAGTGTCTTTTTACAGACAGGTAAAGGAGTTGCTCTGGGGTTTTCCTACCTCAGACCCTGCTACTCCAAGCCTGGCTCGTAACCTTCAGAGGCCAATCAATGCAACATATGTAAAGTGTAAGACCTCTGTGATTAAACATTGCCTCACACAAGCCCATAATTGCCTTTTTTTTTTCCCCTTCCTAAAACCTACTACTACATAAAAACATTCCTACAGAACAGATGTGAAAGGAAACACATCTATATAATATTAATGAAGGATTATGTGGCTGCTGTAGGTCCAAACACTGTGGGTTTTCCTTCCAAACAGTTAAACTGAGTCAAATTCAACAAAGGGGACAACCACCACCAACTGCAGGCACTGAGTATTCCCAATATAAATGGTCTCTAGTACTGCAGCACCCAGGAATAGCCTCCTGGGAACATTACCCAGACATGCAATGGGGATTTGCTTTGGTTTTACAGCAGGTACCAACTGCACTCAACCCCCTAAAAAGCAAAAGGAAAGGGAATGTGTCCATGAGGAGTTTGGATTCTCCAAATCATCTGAACTTTGGCTGGGCACAAGCAATGGACAATGTGTTGCTCTGGAAATTGTCACATTTTTATACATGAGGCTCTAGAATATTAGACTCTGCAATAAAATTAAAGCAAACTTAATGTCTGAAAGGTTCAGTCAACTGCTTGAATTCCTTTCATAGAGCTTTAAGGGGAAGTCAACTTTCCCCTTAGGAAGAGTGAGGATGCAAAGCAATCTTGACAGGATTCCACTCCCAGGCAAATACAATCACCACCTGAGACTTCTCTGACAAAAAGCCTTACTAGTTGTACTTGATGTACAGCATGAGACATTTCTGACACTGCTCTCTGATCTGAGTAAAACCAAGAAAAAAACCCCAAAACATTCTTACAGAGCTGTAGGAAAGAAAACCAGTTAGGACTACAAGCCAGAAGTGTCTCATGGCAGTAGGAAACACTCCTTGAACAGGCAGAAGGAACAGAGAACTGCTCTGTGTCCATTCTAAAGGGCAGTTTTGTTTATTTAGAAACTATTTTAGCTGTTAGATGGTGAGTTACTGTCTATTTCTAGTTAAGACACTAAAATAGGTGTGTTTTCAGAGGAAAATGGAGTGCTGAGCTCAAGTGAGCCACACTGAAGAAGAAACAAGGCTGCAGTTTGGGGAACTTTCCCCACAAGGAAAATCATGTTCACTTACACTACAAACAAGAGCAGACACTTCCAGAACAGTGTCAGGATCTCCAGATACACAGTTACCAGTGATAAAATAAAACCTAACAGAAGAATACTGAGCAGGTGAGGCAGCTCTCAGAAAATCATTACAGCATGGAAGTTTCCACTGAGGTGCTGCAAGAGTGTAGACATCAACCCAAGGCTTGCTTAACTTCAAGGGTGTAGTGATGTAAAACTGCATTTGGAGGACAAATTAAGAGGTGTTTAAAACTCCAGTGAGGACAGTGAAGTACTAAAGGACCTGAAGAGGCCAGAAATATGGCAGGAAATTAAATGGGATTCAACCTACAAAATTGCAACCTGGTTCATCTGGGGAAAAATAATCTGGCACACAAATATTAAATGACAAGGAGATATCTGCAAAGCAGTGAAATAAAACAAAACAGAAAAACCCTCTTGGGGGAGAACAGCAAGCAGAAAACTGGCTCTCAGTATGCAATGTGATATGGCAGTAAAACCAGCCAGCAGAGTTCTGGATGGCTTGAGGAGCACAGCTTGTCTTGGAGCAGGGCACGCTGGGCCCTGTTCACACCACACCGAGGGGAACCTGCACACAGGGCATTCCAAAGCAGCTCCACAAGAGCACTGCAACGATCTGCACAGCTAATGACAGAAGAATGTAAACCCATAAAATGCAGTTTGACAGTGACTGAGGACAGGAGGTTGGGCTGATGCTGAGGAAAAGCTCCTGGCTGCAGCTGTGCAAAGGGTGCAGAGAGTGAGATGGACAAACCTGCTTGAAGAAACACATTATCAGGAAGATCTCCCATCCCACTGGGAAACAGAAGAGAGAGGATATGAAGAAAATCACATTGCTCAAGTGATTCACTGATTAGACTGATAAATATATTTTCTCTCCAAGATTCTCCTTAAGATTCTAGGAAAATCTTAGGAAGGGCTTATCAGGAGCATAACATCATCTCCTTCACCAGAGTTGCAGCCCATACACAAACTGATATTAGTGCAAAGACTCTTAAGGTCAGATCTAGATCAAGATCAGGATGGAATTTGGGACACATACAGAGGGTAAAGTCCAAGCAATATTTGTCTGTGAAACCTGAGAACCTTGAGGATATGCTCATGGCAGTTCTTTGGCTGAGCTGGTGCTCCATACAATCAGGTACATATTTCCTACTTCTCAGTGCCACTGTCAACTCTGAACTCAATCACAGCTAACAGAGATGGATGCACAAAGACAAAATCCACTTCAAATCACTTGCTGTTGACTTTGTCTCCCACTCTGCATCTTCACTGCCCATCTCTGAGTGATGAAATGGTGAGCAAAGGAACAACTAGCACAGGCTGCTGCTTTCCAGGGAAGGACATAAAAGAATCAAATATTTACATAACAATTTTCTGTGACCATTAATGGCTTCTCAATCTCAAGCTATTCTTCCCAAACACAGCCTAGTTCACAGGCAGAATTCACCAGAACTGGGGAGGTCATGGAGTTATCTCCTTACTTTTGGGTTTCACATTGGGACTATCTGAAAAAGAACACAAACCCTTGCAGCAACAGTCCAAGAATAATCTTCAACTTGCATTGACCTGGCAGAAGCCTGAGAGAAAGCCATAAAGAGCAGTTTCCTGCACTACTTGTTAGGTTAGACACACATCTAAATATAAATGTTCTCTACTTCTGCTGCACTAGGATGTAAACCACGTTCCTAGGTGAGAGCTTTCCAAGCCTATCTAGAGACAGAACAGCTTTCCTGTTCTGCACTGGTCTTTAAGACTTTTGGCAGTATATGACAAATATGGAAATAATCAGGACTCTTGTATGTGACACCAGAGTACTTGGAACACACAGAACCCACTCAATAAAGGCATCAAGTCACTGACATCAACTGTTTATAAATGAGATGTGTGCTGCATTGTCAACAACTGCTCTTTGCTCTCCTCTGCATCGACATTTAGGAGTACTAAGGCAGTTTTCTTCATAAATAACAAGCATAATAAAGTACATGATTAGATAACAAGTTAACAAGATTAGCCTTTAAAAAATCTAGCCTAAAAGTCAGATTTAAGGAAATGTTTTCTTGGCCTTTAAACCCAACACCTTTGGAACTGTCCCCACTGTCTGTGGCTCAGCCATCCCAGCCTGGCTCCATGTTCCCAGCACATGGTTTGTGCCAGCCAAGGGAGTCCCAGTGCAAATCAATACATTCTGAAGCCAAACCAGACTCATGTCCACACAGCCTGATCCCAAGCTACAGAGTGTTCTATTCCATTCAGTAACTTTGCTGGAATTAGAGCATGTCTTTCAGGAAAGCCAACAACCTCAATTAAAATTCTTCATCCCACTCAAACCTGATCCCAATGGTTAAAGTCAAGCAGCTGAAATTCAGAGCTTTTTTTTTTTTTAAGCCAACCACGTAATTAGAGAATTGCAAGGGGGAAAATAATTTACAGTTACATATCCTTTGCTATTTAAATGCAAGTGCAATGAAGTGGCTGACTCAGCTCTGCAGCAGCAGCAGAACATGCACAACACTCCGTCAGGGTAAGGTCAAATGGCTCTCACCACCCTCAGGAACTCAGTCCTCAAGGGTTCAAAACTACACTGGAGAGCAGTTGTTGCCATACAGACATATCCATCAGGGTGAGCTGCTTTGGTGTGCTGAGCTTGGAAGAGCCTTCAGAGCCCAGCAAGCTCCAGCAGAACACTCCACTGGAGCCAGCAGCTTGGGTTTGGAACGTTGTATTCCTCTGATTCCAAACCACACATACTTGAACAGTTACAAATGCTGGGGGGGTGGTGGTGGTGGTATAGAGCAGGCTAAAAAATGGACAAACCCTTTGTTGTGTGGCTTTTTTTAACCCCCCAAAAGAACAATTTGGTTGGTTCACTATATAAAAATCCCCTTACCCAACACAAGATGAATGCAAGGTTGTTTATGGGGGGAGGTGGTGTTTTTGGTGGGGTTTTTCCCTCACTTACATTATCTACATATTCTCAAGTACATTTGTTTAACTATAAAATGTCTGATCAGATTTTGCAGGTTGGAGAGCTGCAATAATTGAGGAACCTTGAGAAAAGCTGGAGGAAACATCACCAATAACAGCTCATGGTGACTTCCATTAAATTACTGTTGCTTTGCTGAAGAAAAGACAATCAGATCAGAAACTACAGCAGGGATTAAGACATATTTTTACAATAATATTGAGCAGAAACACCGAGTGTCACTGACCTGGGGCCGCTCAGGGTCGCGGTGTCCCTCACTGCCTGTGCCGTTTCCGACGCAAAATCCAGTGCTCCTGCCACAGGTTTGGTGACTGTGCCCACCAGCCCCTTCCCCAGGCCAGATATGAAACCACTGACTCCTCCTTCTGTTTTCACACCTTCCACTGTTGAGGTTATGACACTTGTCAATCCTCCAATGATACCTGCAAAGACAAGAATAGCAAAAAGGACACAGTTATTGCCTCTGAACACCACAGAACCTCATCCCAGCCAGTGCTGCCTGCATGATTTACTGTCCTTTTAACACAAGAACTGTTTCAAACCCAGTTCCAACAGTCAGGAACTTCATACTCTGTGTCTGTAGCAAACACATGCACATGTACAGACCATAACATCTCACAAAGATTTAATTCATTACTAAGTATGTGTACTTTAAAATATTTCTGTACTGGTTTATTTCCAGCTATATTTACTCAAATGTCCTCACCTACTGCACAAGTGAAGTGGTTACTTAGGATGTGACAAAATTCTACCACCTCAGACGCTGATATAATTTGAGACAGAAAATAGCAAAGTGCATTTCTCCACTGGAACAGCTCAATAATTTTAAACTGGCACGTTGAGTGTTCTTAAAGCCACTTGAAGTGACCCTGTGGTGCTGCCATCAGATGCTTCTGTGCACATTTCCCTTCCTGAGAACCTGAATGCCCTGAGAAATCAAGAACCTACTGAGGTGTCAAAAGACCTGGAGCAGTTCATACTGTCTGAGAACACACTTTACAGATTCCTCATCTCTACTGTGGTTAGAATATCACAGTTTTTAGTGCCCTGGCCCAAGCTTTCAGCAGCTTGGAGCTCCTATAAGGTCTGCAACTGAAGCACAGACCAGGCAACACCTCAACTTCTAAACTCAAGAAGTACAAAGTATTAAATCCTTCCTCTTGAGTAACTATAGTTTATGGTTGAATCCGGTCTGTTGAAATGTAGGAATTAACAGTTCTTTTCCTTTCTTCAAAAAACTGAATGGGAATTATTTGAAAATGCCACAGAATTAGGACTAGAACAGTCATGTTAATTACTGCATAATACAACACAGTGAACTGCTTTTATAATGGACTTTTCAGCAAAGACTGACATATTTTGGGTTTCCTGGGCTTCTCCCAATATAATTTATAGCAGACTGTACAGCACACTGGTGTGAGAGGAACTTCTCATGATCCATTTCAAACCCACAGTGTCTTTGACTGACCAAAGCACAGAAAAGCTCCTGTTTTAGCGAAAGCCACATCAGCTTTGCACAGGCTGCAACAGCTACACCAAGAGAATAACATTTAAACAAACTGAGTCAAGATGATGCAAAATATAAATATTTGATTTAAACTTGGCTTGTATTGATTTAACCTTCTTCAACAGATAAATCATGAACTAAATTGATGTGAGATTCTGGCCAAATGAGGACTAGTCCACTGCCTTTTACACAAATTCATGTCTCTAGTTCTTAGTAGACTGGAAAAAAACACAAACCACAAAATAACCCAACTGGTGAATAGAATCATAGAATAGAATAGAATCAAGCAGGGTGGGAAAGACCTCCAAGATCATCAAGTCCAACCCTACCATGGTTACTACTAGACCATGGCACAAAGTGCCACATCCAGTCTCAGCTTGAAAACCTCCAGGGATGCTGAATCCACCACCTCCCTGGGCAGCACATTCCAATGCCTCACGACTCTCTCTGTAAAAAATATCTTCCTAATAGCCAACCTAACCCTCCCCTGGCACAGCTTGAGTCTGTGCCCTCTTGTCCTGCTGCTGGTTGCCTGGGAAAAGAGACCAACCCCCACCTGACTCCAACCTCCTGTCAGGGAGTTGCAGAGGGTGAGAAGGTCTCCCCTAAATGTTACTTTAAACTGATGTACTGATTCCAAGGAAACTCAGGTTTCTGGAACTGAAAGCAAACATGAGAGCACTCAAATTCAAACATAAAGACTCTGCTGGCTCCGCTGCCCTGGCTTCAGATCCCACCCAGCAGGGACCCCCACTGCTCTCTGCCACCTGATCACTCCTTTTAGGAGAGAAATGAGTTAAAATTGCAGCTAAGGGTTACCATGAGCGAGTCCATGGATTCCAGCCACAAGATGCTCTCCACTGGTTGCCGCGTGGTATCGGATGTATTCCCGTTCCGTCTGATGTCTGTTGTCCATGGTCTTTCCCAACCCATCCGACAAGGTCCCAGCAAACTGTAAGAGAAGGACCTTTCCATTATTTCCAAGAGAAAAAAAGCTGTTTCTTGTAAGTAGATCCAGTGAAGAAACTTCCTAGACCCTAGTTGTGAAGGACACATTTATACAACTCATTTTGTTACCCATCCACAGTCTCTCCACGTGTTTTGCCACAAAGAAAGCTCTGAAGTACATCACCCTTTGAAACTGAACTCCTGAGATGACAGTCACAAACCAAGGAGGTGCCCAACTGCAGTGGTCAAGCCAAAACAAACCCAGACTATGAAGGATGCACCAAAAGCAAAGCCAGTGACCCAAGTGCAACCTTTTGAACCCTCACAGGAATGTTATTTAGATACAAAGCTTTCCTTCTGCAAAGATATGTGAAAAGCTTCAAGGCAAATATGCCTGTCAGGAAACTAAAACATTTGCAAGAGTGAATTAAATTCTTTTTGGTAACAGTGTAGAAATGGCTGTTGTGGAAGGATGTGGGAGCCAGGCCAGGCTCACTGCAGCTCCCTGACAGACAGTTGTGCTGAGGAGCACCCACAGGTACCACACACTGCCACCAAAAGCCCAGGGGGAACCCTGAACACGTGTGGTTGTGGAACATTCTGGCTCCTTACACTTACCTTTACCATCGTGGGGGAAGACTTGAGACATGCTCACAGATAACAGAGAACATCTACATCCAAACAGAGTTTGTTCTGAGAGCTCTGACCATGGCTGTGTATGAGTCAATGAAAAAGCAGCAAATAAAAATGACCTATGTGATCTGTTGACCTCTGGTTTGATGAAATCAGAGCGAAAGCAGAAGCTTGGTGAAAGGAAGGAGGCAAGAAAAGGAGACAGAAAACCTGAAACCTTGCTTCATAACCAGGATATTATTACAGCAAGGAACTCCTAACAAGAATTTTCCTGGAATAACTGGGCTTTTTTGATTATGTGCAGTTGGTCACCTCCTGTACCTCTCTCAGCTACCATCAGCATTCTCACAGTGTCTCCCTTCAATAAATGAACAAACTCCATCCTCTCTGCCCTCACCTGTCCCCAGACTAGGGCTGGGGAACATACCAGGTGCCACAGGAAAGCCAAAGATCCTCGAGGGCTGTAGCAGTGGTGAAGTCACCACTGTCCTGCAAGATCACAGCTCCTCCACAAGTACTTCATTGTTTCACAGCAGTGTAAGGATGTGCCCTTCCCAGTGCTCACCTGAGCTTTGCTGCATGGACCATCTCCTCTGCACCCCAAGAGCTGTGGTAAAACCCCTGTGTGGGTCAGGTGTGCACAAGGGGACAACTAAAACCTGGTGTGAAATGCTAACTCACTGAAGATTATAAAGAACTAGACAGAGAGTTAATGTATGTGCCTGATCCCATGACAAATTTCCCCTCCTTTGCCTGTCATTTCTTCCAAGGTTGTGTTTCTTTTTCACTAATGACATAATGTCCCAATTTGAGCTCCTCTCCAGCTCAAAGACAAACCAGCCTAGTGGCTCCAGTTATCTAAACAAGTAGACCTTAACAGGGACAAAAATTAAATCCCATGACCCTTCTTGGGACTTGATCATATGGACACTAAACAGAACGTAGTGATCAGTGACTCAATTACTTTTGACCTCGCTGTGAACTTAATGTAGATGTTATTCCTTTTCAAATTAGCCTAGAAATACAAACCTGAAGCTCTCTATGAACAGTGTTTAGGGTTAGTTGGTTTGTTTCCTGGAGAAATACTTTGTTTCAGAGGATTAAAGTTGCTATAAAAACCAAAAGGCTCAATAGGCCTTCAAAATTCAAACCTCGTTACGGAATCTGTCAAGGCCTGAAAATGACTTTTCAAGAACACATTTTGGTAGTTGCATTAATGCATGACTGGACAATGAGCCAGCAAGAATAAATCAATTTATGAATAGTGATCAGAATTGGTAATCTCTCCTTACAGCTCTGCCCCTTGCACATACACTGACCAGCTCCACCACTGCTGCTTTCCCGGGGAACACAATCCAGTCTCTCTTCAGATTTCCCTTCCTCTGTGAAGCAGAATCTGATATCTAATCATCAATAACAATTCTGGTTTAGCAAATAGACAGAATGTTAATATAATCGTGTATTATTCTCTTAGTAAGGAGAAAAAAGGCAAAAATCCCATGCACATAGTTTAAAAGTCAAACTCTCCATTAGCTGTAAACCCAAAGTTAAACAGGGACAGTTTTGTTTGTGTTACTCAGAAAACAGCACTGAATTACAGCTGCAAATAGAACAATTTACAGATTTTAATGTACCAAATGTACCAGGAAATGTTTCCATTTCGCCCTGACTCAGGTGACAAAATCTAAACTCAACACACATTAGCCACAAAACATGAACTTCATGTTGAATTACTTTTTGACACAGCTCCTCCTCCTCCCTCCCTGGGACTGTTTGTTTTCTGGCCTCATTTAACAAAGACTGAAGCCAAACTTTTGTTGCCATCTGTACCATTTGTACCCAAACCAAGGGGTTACCTCAGTTAGCACACGTGAATGAATCCCTTTCTGAGCCATTTCCAGCTGGGACCACAGCAACCCTTCCCTGCTCTGGGGACCAGAGTGTAACGTGAGCAAGTTTGGAAATTGGAGGTGAAATGCCAGGGAAGATAAAACAAAGAGACATTTCACAGGCATCAGCAAGTCATGTTAAGGTCTGCTGGGCAAGGGAGCAACTCTCCACTGCTGCTGGGAGGTTTAGACTTTGTCTGCCATAAAGATCCAGACTGTGGTGTCAGCGTTCTCCTGCTTCATGAGCTGAGCCTCACCTATGTCATCTCACATTACCCACTGCAGGTAATACCACCTGAGTGCAATAACTGATCAGAAATTTTAAACCATCTTTTTCTGCACACATCAAACACTTTCCCTGAAACGGTTTCTGAAGCAAACAGGGTTGTAGCTACCTATAGCAAAGGGAAAAATTAAAGATTTCTGACACAAAAAACCCAACCAGACAAACACCTGTACAACACCTTCTGCCCAGTCTGTGTACATTATAACCACTGGATTAAAAGTTCCTCAGCAGTGGCAAATTAATTCAGGATCAGAAACTTGAGCAAGCATCAGAAATTTAAGCAGTTTAAGTCCAGCTTAAACTCTGAAGGGAGATGTGAACAAGTCAAAGCACAAAAGCAGACTTGTCTCTTACTTTTAGATACCTCCCTTCCGGACATGCAATCTTAGCTGCTGAGGTTGAGGTATTAAAACTCTTGGAAGAGCAGAGATGGTGCCTGATGGAGCTGTTACACAGCAAATAGCCTCCAGATAAACAGAGGTGACACCAAAAGTGTGACCAACCCTTGTCCTCCTCAGCTTTTGTTAATAAGGTGTGACCTGATAACTTCAAAGCCTACTCAAGACCACCTAAATGCCAACAAAACTAAACACAACAGTCTGTGGAATAAACATGAAACTAATCAAGGGACTTCTAAAACCCATCCCCCACTGCTCTACCCTAATTTTCATAATGAGTTCTTTGTCTTATTGCTGATGGAAAAAAGAAATTAGTCACTTGGTCTTTTATCTCTGCATTTTCCCCATTTCAAATATCCTTTGCCTTGCAAGAGAACTGCAACACAAACCATCAGTCTCAGCTAAATGAAGTTACCTGCTTCCAAAGCAAAGGGCACCAGGGGGTACTGAACAAAGCCAGGCTGCAGGAGGAACATGTAGGAACTGGGTATTCCACGTGGCATCTCCAAACAGAGCAAAGGAGGAGTCTTCCAGACTACTCATCTGACATTTCAGGTACTGAAAGTATTTCAACTCATCATCCACATGCACTGTTCAAGGCTTTGCCTTATCCCTTCTGCCTGGAGAGGAGGAGAACCCCTCCAAAAAGCCCCAGGCAGCTGAGCAGGCAGTCTGTCATCTGTCTCCTCTGACCCTTTCAGTCTCAGAAGCAGATGGTACTTCATGTATTTCCTCTCTACAGAGGGACACTGACCATTTCTTCCATGTCTATACCCTAAATACACTTGGATCTTGGGTTTCCATCTCACATTGGTTCATGTTTGAAGTGAAGATACCACGTGGTAACACACAGCCCCACTGCACTTAAGGTTACATGGGCTAACATAACCTGATCCTCCTGAGGAGAGTGAAATACAATGACATCTCCCTCCAAATCCCAGGACATTATAGAATCATAGAATCAACTGGGTTGGAAAAGACCTCCAAGATCATCAAGTCCAACCCTACTGTGGTCACTAGACCATGGCACTAAGTGCCACATCCAGTCTCAGCTTGAAAACCTCCAGGGATGGTGAATCCACCACCTCCCTGGGCAGCACATTCCAATGCCTGAGCACTCTCTCCAGAAAAAATCTCTTCCTAATAGCCAACCTAACCCTCCCCTGGCAGAGCTTGAGTCTGTGCCCTCTTGTCCTGCTGCTGGTTGCCTGGGAGAAGAGACCAACCCCCACCTGACTCCAATCTCCTGGCAGAGAGTTGCAGAGGGTGAGAAGGTCTCCCCTGAGCCTCCTCTGCTCCAGGCTGAACACCCCCAGCTCCCTCAGCCTCTCCTCATATCCTGCTGTGCACAGTGTCTTTGGAAGAGCATGTAAATCACCCTCAGCACTTCTCAGTTACTGAAGATATTAGCACACTTTGCCACCCTGGGGCACATAGGCCTCAGCCTCCCCCTCTGTACACTCAACTTAATCAATGACTCATCATTTCTTGGTTTACATTTAGTGTCACCAATCCATATTAAACATCTACCACAGTCTGCAAAAGCAGATTAAACAGTATCTGCACAAGCAACTAATCTCTCATATTTTGGGTTATTTGCTGTATTTTTCTTTCTAAAGGCCCAACTTTTGTCATAAAACCTTTTTGCACTGACTCTGTATCCCTTGCTGTTTCAAGCATTAGTAGAAAAACAAAAACAGACTATACAGTGTTTGTGAACTAAAGCTGATGCCAAACAAGAAAGGCTTTTGGGGCACAAGAAGAATTCAAAGCAAATGAAAACTCAGCTTTGGACTGC